AGTGTTAGGTTGAATAGTAAAATAAGTCAAAATTAACTACTGAATGAAGACTTTTAAAAGACCTGGTAGTAGAATCTTTGACTTTGGAAATAAGCGATACAGATTAGAACGACTGAAAGGGCATCACGTTTTTAGTGGTTTTGCTCACACCCTGGTGAACAGTGCCAAAAGACATGAGATGTAAGTTAATGGATTCTTGCCGACTGACTGCTTAGATCTAACAGGCTTTTAGGATTGTCAGGCTGATAAATATATTTTAGCTAATATTTCACCATCAGATTGGTACATTAATTCTGTTCTGTTTAGGAGAACCTATAAGTGAATGCAGAGCAGGTGATTAGGTGCAGAGTGAGAAGGAATATGTTTTTGCTAAATTTATCGTTTTCATGATAATCTTACTGTCCCATATTGGGAGCTTGAATAGGGAAGATACTAAGATAAAAGCAGAAACAGTTGGCCATCTGTAATTCACTGATTTCGTTGACTTTATCCATTCCAGTACCTAAAATGCAGCACATTACAGTCAATAAAAAATCAAAATATCCATCAAGTAGTACGGAAAAGTGAAGCCTGTTAGAATAGATTCTTGTCAATATCTGTTGCAAATCTGAAAGGCTGAAATTATCTAGTGAAATCATATTCCTAAAAAAGTATGTTGGTTATATTTCGATTGTATATAACAGCATAAACCAAGGATTTCCTAGATTTGATCCGAAGATTGAATTCGTAATAAAACAGAGGTATGAAGGCGCTTTTCACTTTCAGGATTCGACTGTCATGAGAATAAGTGACAAAACTCCTCAGAAATTTATCAACTGAAATGGGTTTGGGATGAACAATACTTCAGCGCTCCTTAGCTTCTATCTAATAAGCTATAAATCTCTTTACAGAATGAGTAGAATATTATGTTCAATGGATCGGCTTGAAGAAGAGTACATTGCAATGAAGTTTTGTTTTAGACAACGCTACTTTTGGGTGTGTTAAAACTTAAGACAAGCAACCTAGTCCAACAGTGGAACCGAATGCACCAGACTGGTATAATGCAAGCAGTTCAGTAGCACGATATATTTATCTAATATACACTTAGTCATTGGTAAATGAATCTAGTTCGCCGTACTTCATAAAGGCCATTAAAACTTGCAGGTCGAAACTGGGTGAATCTGTAGCTAACACTCAACAAAAGCCTAGCTTATTTTATTCATATCAGAACTGTGAATACGATCGTATAAGCTTCGCTTATTTTACTCTTTCTTCACTATTATCACAATATTCCATCTCACTTCTTTTTTTCGATTACATAACTCATTATTCGTTATCATTTAAAAAGTGTTAACCTGATTAATTATTGGACTTAGGATGAAAAATCTTTGTCACTATGCTATTTCACAGTATTGCATTCCAACCAATTTTAATGTTTCTTCAATGCTACCTTATTATCAAAATTTTGAACAAGAAAAAAAGATACTTGATCAGCCTTATGCAGTAAATCCTCTTTGTTTCGGTTTTTCTTACGTTTAATAAATATACGATACATTGAAACAGTCTAATTTAATAGATTACGTTTCAGACAAAATTTATCGTCCGTATTCATATCAAGACAACTGGTAGTTGTAACACAGGTGTTAAAGGAATGTAAATAATAATAATAATAATAGTAGAAACAAGGATTCATAATCTCTACAGTATTACAATACAAAGAAGCCACCTCCGAGACTTTATGTATGATTCTCAAAGACTGGGATTAGTGTGACATTTAAACTGACAAACCTACTTAAAATCAGCTTTTCAGGCTTAATGATTCTATTGAACCAACTAGGTAGAATAGTCTACCAAATTTATCAAATCCCTTGCAATGATTGTCAGGTGAATGAAATACATAGGTTGAAGTAGTCCACCAGGGTCAGCTAGGCTATCCTAGCACAACATTCTACTTACGTCAAAACTGTTTGATTCTAGTAAGACATGGAATCTGGAAAAAAGCTCGATCATATTTATGCATTCAGTTAAACACAAATTTACAATAGAGTAGGACAAAAAGAATATCCGTGGGATTGATTTAGTGAGGTGGAGAGAGACACTGATAACCGAGTCATTACATAGTGTAATTAGAAGACAAAGTCTAACTGAACAATGTGGTGTATTTGCGCAATATATTTTAAACATTCTGATCACACATTCACCTGTCAAGTCAGTTTACATTCAAGTGAAGTGTAAGAGGACAAATACCACAATTAAAATAATAGGGGATTAAAACTAAGAAGGATGAGAATAAAGAAGAAGGGTAGCATAGTTGATCCTAATCTTGGATAACAAAACAAAGTTGACCAAAAAATATTGTTTTTGAACATATAAAAGTGGTTTCAAATCTCAGTACACCATCCTAACTGTTCCTATATAAGACTGTGAAAGGAATTTATCCCCACCTTGTGACTTATTCTTATATGGACTGAGGGTCAAGTGTACTTTGGTGATTTCAATGAAGGTATTGTTATTAATTGGTGAAAATGAGTTATAAAGGTGAACATTAATGTTTCAGTTTCATCTAAAAGATCAAACAAACCATTACATTCTTTATCTAAAATGGAACTCAGTATAATAGCACGCATAACTGTATACACATTGTGTCTCACCTAAAATGAATAATGGAAGTGCAACAATTTACTGACCGATGTGCGGAATCATGCTGCTGTCCATCCCAAACAAAATATTAAGCTACGTCATACTGGAGCGACTAAAGGATAGGCTGGATTCAAAACTACGACCGAAACAAGCTGGATTCGGGAAGTACAAATCATGTGAGGACACAATTGCAACGCTACGCCACGCATCATCATAGAACAGAGAATAGAATGGCAGTCAACCCTCTACCTCAACTTCATCAGTTTTGAAAAGGCCAGTCTTCGACGGCGTCCACCAAGAAGTAAGTTGGCAGTTGATTCAACACTACGGCTTTAGTGCCACAAATCTTTATCAACCTCGTTCAACAACTATATGAAGACGCCACATGACAAGTAATTCACAATGGAAAGCTCAGTGATGCTTTTAAAGTGAAGACAGGAGTGAAACAAGACTGCCTACTATCACCGATGATATTCCTGATTGTGGTCTACTGGATCATGCAACAAACAGTGAGGAGCGAGAGGAAGGGCAGACGCTGGGCCAGGGAAAAGAACCTAGAAGATTTGGATTTCGCTGATGACTTGTTTCTAATGTCTTGTGGCACAAACTTGAAGATGTACAGGCAAAGACTAACATTTTGGGAGAAGAAGCAGCGAAGACAGGACTTCAGATGAATATAGAGAAGACAGAGGTGATGAAGATACCTAACAACACCACCACCAACAACGAGAAGCTCCAATCACCATGAACGGGAGAAACGTAAAGGAAGTACCCTCTTTCACCTACTTAGGCAGCACTGTTTTAACTACAGGTGGCACAGACGAAGATGTCAAAGCTAGCCAAGATCGGAAAAGCAAGACAGGCGTTCATTAACCTGAAACTAGTGTGGAGATCATCTGCACTCCATTCAGCATAAAGCGTGAACAACATCCAGATTTTCGACACCAACGTGAGTCAAGTCAGTGCTTCTGTGGGATGGTTGAGAGACTTGGCGCGTTACGAAGGGGATTTCCAACAAACTACAGACATTCATCAACAGCTGCCTACACTGGGTACTGAAGATTAGACGACCAAGATAATTGGAATGAGCAACAAGGAGCTCTAGGAACGAACCAACGAAGAACCTATCATGCAACAAATATGCAGAAGGAAGTGGAGATGGACTGAGCATACACCGAGATGACCATAAGGTAACACCAGGCGCCAGGCCAGTTACTGGAGTGGAACTTAAATGGGAAACGGTGAGTTGAGCGTCCAAGGTGAGGGTGACATGGGGGAGATCGTATGAGGAAGAAATGAGAGCTTGTGGGCTGTCGTGTTGCCAGGTTGAAGAGATTGCAGAGAAGAGAGTGGAGTGGAGACGTGCTACTGAAGTGGTATGTTCCACTAGGAACTCAAGGGACAAGTAATAATAATAAATGCAATTGTTATATTCAGTAAAACTAGTCAAGTGTCAGGGAATGAATAACGAAAGCTGGTAAAGTTGTACATTCAGTAAACTACTCATTCACAAATAGTACAATGTGGCAGCTGTAGCCATAAAAATGAGATGCTGACTTTCAGTCTCTGATTCACCATAATGTTGGTGTACGTTCAACTAGCATCTGAGGCTAACCAGTACCATAATCAAGTTTAGTTCATATACAAGTGTGTGGATTTCGTTGCGCCACTCATTTTAACTTACCACACAAAACATTTGTCTTCTAACAGGTGGATGCTTTGACACTTTTTACTTATAATTCATACACTAGCCTAGAGGAATTACTGGCACTTAAAATTTGACGTATAAGGCGCACGCTCACGATAATAATTTCGGGGAAAATAACGTATTAAAATTGGTGTGCCACTTAGGTGATCCATATATAGGTTTTCTTTTGTAAGACAAGGAATAAAAAGCCGAGGAAACAAAGGTAAAACTGTGATTCGTTTGATATTATGTGAATTTCTCTTATTCGCTCTTCTTTGTGAAAATCGTTTTATAATCACCTACTTATCATTTCATCAGCTAATGACTGAAATTATTCATGCAAAATTAGCCTTGTGCGAAACCGTAAAATGAAGTTAAGGAACTCATTATGACAAATAATTTTACCGTATCCTATGAACAATGCTGAACTTGAGCATATGTTATTTTTATTACAAATCTGTTAGTACTTATGGTTAATAAATTTGTTTTGCATACCACTAGGGAGGGGACCAAACTTTCACTGATAGAATGCACACAGATAAACAGAACTTCTTAATTAAACGTTATAAGTAGTTGACTGTCTATCTGATGTGAAAAGAATGTGTCCAGTGAAATAAAGAATCTGAAAGAATATCAATTCACAAACAGTTCTAATTAATAAACACCAATCGAAAATATTAAATCAAACATTTACCGAAAATTGAATCCTGAAGCAATCTTTGCATGTGCATCATCCAGTCGTCGAAATGAATAAGTTGGATTACAGTATTGAACATCCCAATCTAGATCACATTTCCAATTAATGTCTATACCGATGACACCACCCTGAAGTGAAAATAAACAGACATCGAAAAATAACATTGTTAATGGCAATATTAATCCATTAAATATGGCATGAAATAATGGACATATGAAGATTATGGTAATTACATCCATTTATCTAGCTATCTAAATGCAATAGAGCAAACATATTTGCGTAAACACCTTTTAGATTCGATCACCGAGTAGCATAACAATAAAAATTTGTGAAGAGGCGCTGAGATATAATCGAATGAGGAATATATATATCTTGGTTGTATTGTGTTCTCTGACCTGGGTTGTTTAATCGTGAAGCTTTCATCGCCTTGCTAGACGACATAATCAGCATTAACTTCAGTATGAACACAATACAACCAAGACCATCCACCTGAGCTACAAATATTCTCTATCATTTCAAGAATATATATATATATATATGTTTCGCAACGCAGAGCATAAACAAATAAGATTACATAACTGATCCTCATTCACTGCGGGTAGTGATACTACAAAAGGTTTATTTTTGACTGTTCAGTTAAATAATATTGAAATTATACCTGGTCTTCATGTGGACTTTCGAGAAGTAGTCAACTATTCAGACTCATTATGTCAGTGATTACCATTCAACCTCACTACCTAGAACTGATAAGGTGTAATGCGTTTCGAATCCATTTTCAACTCGTCAAAAGTCTGGCGCCTTATCCTATGGGCTACAATTCTAGCAAGATTACAATATATCGAGTTTGATTGGGATAAATAATTATCCTAGTAAATCAGTGTTGAAGATTTTCGTTGTTATAAGCCAACTACTTCTCAGTGCAACTAAATAAAGTTGCACTGAACTTACCAGATATAAATGAGTATTGTTCACCTTACTGAATGTGGGATAAACATATAACTCCCGAAATAGTAAATAATTCAAAATCTACTCCTTCCAATGAAATAGTCATTTAATCAAGGATATTAGAGTTCTCAGCTTTTTTTTTTGATGAACTTTTGAAGTTGAGCACATTTTAAGGTGCAGCATCAAGACAAATGACTTGAATAGAAATAGTAACGCCTTCAAGTAATTCGAAGAACTGAAAAATGTAAAAGTCTATTTCTAAAGTAACTCGGTGACAGTAGATGATGTATGAATACTAAATATTGGCGATAACTATGCAATTCTGACTGCAATATGTCTGGTTAGGAAACAGTCCAGTAAGTATTGTCACAGCATGGCAGAGCAATAGATTAGCACTTTTCTAATGTTCCTAAGACATAAAGAATAATTTTACATCCAAGCAGGCCAGTAATATTTTGTTTCTTCTTCTAATAGCAGTATTGTATAACCGTGCTACAGAGAGAGGTCTGTAGATAAATGAGTTCATTAGTATGTTATTGGACTAAACCGTAGTTACACTTCAAAGTTTTGAGTAAAGGAGAAAAGAGTGCTATGCAAAAAAGAAAATACCACGCTCTTCTCATCTCTTTCTAGTTTATGTACATATACGGATTACACTGGGCATTGTATAAGAAATTCCAGGGAGTTCTACCGGTATACTGCAGCATCATACCATTGAAGAGTGTTTTTTCGCTGTCGGTTACAAACATTTGATGGTATCGGCTTAATAATCATTTATTTCATAACTGGTTCTTATATGTGTTTTCGGAAAAAGGTTTTTACAATGATCTTAAATTGTGCTGCCAGCAAAACACAACACTAACTTGTCTCGCGATAACTGGCTGACTTACACTTTTTTCATTAATTGAGGTGTTATCGTCCAATAATATATTTATATAAAGTTTTACAAATAATCCATGAATATTAAACTGTCTGTAAACTAAGTGAATCGCCTTTTGGGCAGAGAAAACGAAGTAGCATATTTAAAGTACAGAATGGATCAATCAATGTTTAGTATCTTAAACCGCAGTAAAAATGAGTTACGTAGTGTGAAGCAAAAAAAGCGCGAAAGTAAAGTTTAAGTTTTACAGTGATTATACTTACATATTATAATATAGTTTTTTAGGGATCAGATATCCCTAACATATCTGGCAATTAGATCTGTGTAAAAGATAAGACGAGGAATTCACTTTCCATTATCTTATTTCCTCTCATACTAAGATAGTGCTTCAGCCATAAATTCTCAGGTAAGGAGTTGGCGAGGTCTAGTCAGCTGTCGTCTTCGATTGATGCTTGCAAATAAAAATAAGGTTGGTTTTTCCAGGTGAAGGCTTCTTCAAATGATTTTGACCAAGTTGTATAGTTGGAGTATGATTAATCCTTTATTTCTAGTCAATCGGTTATTTGGTGTCGATTAAAATACAGATAAACGTTTCTTCTTCCCTTAATTTAATGAACTTGCGATGTTCCTAGAATAACAGGCTCAGAATAAACCAAAAGCAAATGACAACCTCCAAGGAAAAAAAGTAGTGCATGTGGTTTCAAGGAAAATATTGATCGCTGAAATATCTCTAATAGTCTCATGAAAAACGAGCAATGAGGGAACAGTGAGCAACTTTAGAACTTGAACGAAAGTTAACAATCAACTATTCTTATATAAAAAAGTACTTGTTTTCAGAATTTAATGGAATAATTCAGTAGTACTTTTTGTGTAGCTCTACTGTTAGAGTATGGAAGTTTGAGAAGTAATAAAGAAAAATTTGCTTAGTGATTAGAGGTATTATCATCTCCATATAGGTTATATGGAGAGAGCTGAAAGTTTAAAAACTAGCGTAAAATAATATTAATATGCTAGTTATTATTCAATACGCCTAAGGTATTCGTGAGTATACGTAAATATAAACGCGGTTTGTAGCTCAAATGTTTGCGATCAATGTATAAAACGTCACATGTCAAGCTTTTTCACATTCAGCACTGAACTGCAAGGTATACTGAAAACCATAGAGTATAACGATTTACACAATTAAGCTACAATAATCACAATTTGGAAGATGGTTAGCATACACATGATGTAAGTGAACATGGCGAAATTCTAGAGAAAACTGTTAGATCAACTATAGAAGTAAAATCATTGATGAATGAAATAAAAATTTAATTTAGTTGAAAAAAAACTCTCTAAACGTTTACTGTTATATGATAAGAAACAATCATCATTATGGAACTAAGTAAATGAGACAATTTCAGTGGTTCGAATAACTGGAATTTAAATGCAGTTAAATTCTTTTGGCTAGTTATTTATTTTTCAACATAGTGAAGAACATCAACAACAAATAATTTTCCTGCATTCCTGCTTCCTTCATTTTATTATTCCTGTAGAACCGAATTTCACTTCATTTTATGCATAGGTTAACTGAATATTCTAACTGTTACAGGGAGAGGTAAAGATATGAATTCTAGCTATATATTCAAGTATATAATCAACGTACTGACTAACTAACAAAAATCACTCTTTTCATAATCTTTAGTATCCCACCTTGACTGAACAAAAGTTATAAAGGCTTAAACCATAAACAGACGTAAAGGAATTTACCAGCACATTTAATGATTCGTTGTCATATTGAAAACAAAATTAGCATTCAAGGAGTATTGAACAAAAATGAACCCTTTAAAAGTTTACTTTTGCTTACATATTTTTATATATGTAAATTTTGATTATTTTCCTAGGAAATAAGAATGCTGAATATTTCGGAATTGTTTCATCTCAAACACATTATAATCTATAAAATAATAATTTATGCTTAATTCTTACTCTACACACACAGTGAATAATGTTTGGAAAAGTATTTGAACTAATGTTAAGCAATTCGCAGAAAATCTGGTATTGAGGAATTTGAGCTTTTCTAGGTGGAATGACAAATTATTACCAGAATAAATATTATGGTAAGTTTTTAGTTTATTCAAAACACGCTATTGTTAAATTTATATTATCATTAACAGTATGTTTTTGCTTAAGTTGATACTTATAGCCGAAAGCGTTTGTAAGATGTTACACAGTAAATACATCGCTAGATTATTTGTTTGTATGTAAATATTTCTAGCAAAGTTGGGGGATGTCAGTGGATAAAATTTACTTAAAAAGCTTAAAATGTTATTCACTTTTCATTGGATTTTAGAAACAGTGTATTTGAATGTACACATATGAAAACCTGATCTAAACTCAGAAGAAAGCGTCTGGATATAGCATGTGATACTGCCATTCCGTAAAAACATGAATTTTAGATGTAGTTAGTATCTTGATAATCTAGCCTAGGTAGCATCGTTTCAACTACAGGCGGTGGTTGCAGAGACGAGGATGTCAAAACCAGGATCAGAAAGCCAGCAAGACTGGCTTTCATCAATCTGAAATCAGTGCGGAGATCTACTGCACTCAGCACAAAGCGAAAACAAGATCCGGATTTTTAACACCAATGTCAACTCAGTGCTTTTATGTGATGTTAGAGAGACTTACCGTGTCACGAAAAGCATTTCCAACAAACTACAGACATTCATCTACAGCTGCCGCCTACGCTCGATGCTGAAGATCAGATGACCAAAAAGAATAAGCAATAAGGCACTCTAGCAACGAACCAACCAAGAACCTATCACCCAGCAAATATGCAGGAGGAAGTGGAGATGGATTGGGCAAACACTGAGAAGGCCGACTGAGGACATCACGAGCCGGACCAGGTACTCGAGTGGTACCCAGATGAAAAACGACGAGTTGGGTGTCCGAGCCGAAATTGATATGGAGGAGGTGGTGTGAGGAAAAAATGAAAGCTTATGGACAGTCGTGGTGCCAGGTTCAAAAGACTGCAGAGTACAGAGGGGAATAGAGGTGTGCTACTGAAGCCCTGTGTTCCACCAGGAACCCAAGGGAAAAATAATAGAAAATGATAATAGTGCGATGTCGTCAAAATTATAATAAAAGTAGGATCAAATAAAATTGATCGTTTATTCAGTTTTCCGTTTTTTATCACGATATAACTGACTACAAGACCATCTCAACTCATTTTACCCCCCAGACAATTCTTTCTGCATACACTTCTATACTAATATTACTGTCTTTGTTCGACACAGAGTAATGAATAATTGAAAACATAGATTT